GTTTGGGCTTTTGCTGCTATCCTCACTGTTGCTGGTGCTTACAACAATGTCCCAGAGCGGACTAAACTGAGTTGCCGGACAGATGGTTCTCACCTTATGTCATCTGCTCCTTGGTATTGTCCAGATGATTTGTTTTTTTTCCTCTTGTTCATTTTAATTGGAAATTTATTGAATGACATTATTTTATTTATGACACTTCATTTGGTATTCTTTCCAAACTAGGATTAAGTTTCCATACCCATTTCAGTGGGGTACTCCAATATTCAGAGCAAGCCATGTCTTTGGGATGATAGGAGCAGCACTTGTTTCATCCGCAGAGGTTCAATTACTAGTTTTTTCACATTTGATATACCTTGGATATTGACATTTAAATTTGTACTTTTACCTATTTTAAAATTTGGGAACTATTTTAACTGATAAAAATTCCTTAAGCTGTGGATAGACTTCAATATATTTGGTCTCTAAATGGTATACAGGCTAAAATGTAATCAGTTGCTTGTCTTATTTGATTGAAAGAACAGAGAAATCTGGTATTTGAATAATTGCTTTTGAAATCTTTTGGTGCAGTCAACTGGAACATTTTTTGCGGCATCACGGTTTGCAGGTGCCACTGCCCCCCCAGCACATGTCCTCAGCCGAAGTATTGGCCTCCAGGTCCTGGCAAAGATTGTTATGCTTCTTTTTCTATTTGGTTTCGTTATTTTATCCATGATATATTTATTTTTTAAATTCATATGTAATGAGTTTCTATAGTTATTTTACCATTTAGATTTAGAAAAATAAAGTTGGCTTTATCAAATGCAGGGTATTGGCATGCTGATTGAAGGGATGTTTGGTTCTATTGTTGGTACCACTGCATCTGTGTAAGGAAGCAACACTTAATGACAGTTAAATATATTTGTTTTTCTCCATTATGACTTAGATATTGGCCTTTTATGAGTTCATTTTTATCACATTTGTTAGGTTCTTGCTCTCATTTATAGTGTCACGCATATTTGGGTCCAGAAATGAAATGTCAAGACTTAATGAAGTTAGACTGTCACATAGGCAAGTAGGGATAACTGAAATCATCAAGTTAGCTATCTGAAAAGAAGCCTTCAGTGCCACCATTGGAATGGGCAATTGTTGGATTCTATCTTACTTTAGGCCTTGTATTTGATGCGTACTTTTAGCAGATTGTTACTCCTTATACCCAGTTCATGAAATAATAACACCTTGTACGATTACCTTCAAACTGTTTGTTCTAAATCTCTTGTATTTTGTTCTAAAGTAGGAAGCCAAGGCAAAGTGTCTTGTAGAGCAGTGACTAAAAGTGAAAATGAATTGACAAGCTGTTTCGAAATGTACCCAAGATTGTTTTTTAGTCACCATCGAAATGATATTACAGGGAAAATGTTGGCCTTCTTGGACTGACGCACATAGGCAGCAGAAGAGTGGTTCAGATTTCAACTGCTTTCATGATCTTTTTCTCCATATTTGGTTTGTTTTTTGACCCCTCATAAATTGTATTCAACTCTGCATAATTTTTAATAATTTTGTACTGACCGTGTAAAGTTTTTCAGGGAAATTTGGAGCCTTCTTTGCATCCATTCCTTTACCAATATTTGCAGCCATATATTGTGTTCTATTAGGAATTGTTGGTGAGTGATGATGTTGTCATTACTCATTATGGTCTTTCTCTTTTTTTAGTTGTTTCCTTTTTCCGGTAATGGGAATTTGCTCATTGGATGTGTTTTCATTTTTGCAGCTGCTGTTGGGATTACTTTCATTCAGTTTGCTAATAATAATTCCATGAGAAACATCTACGTTTTGGGTGTCTCTCTGTTCCTTGGCATATCAATTCCTCAATACTTTGTCTTGAACACCACTCCGAATGGTCATGGACCGGTAGGAACGCCTGGGGGATGGGTAAGTTAACTGGGGAACATGCTATACTTCTAAATTTTACCATGTTTATTTCCGGATGCCATTAAATCCTTCCGATGTTTTTCGTCTATCACAAACCTTGTCTATTGAAGTGTGAGATAGGATGCAAAAGAATTTATGGAGTTATTGGATGATAGGCATGATACACTGATTAAAAAAAATAAAAAAATAAAAAAATAAAAAAATAAACCTGGTGCACGACTGGGCACATGCATCTAGTAAATCGTGCTTTGACGTTATGACAATTTCCGAAGTAATCTAGTTTGTATTACTACCACTTAAGATCCATATAATATTAAATTAGTTTTCCTACTTTTAGGTTTTGACTGATGGCACTGACTTAAAGGTGAAGAACCCATTCTGATAAAATTGCTATTTCTGTAAGAAAGCTTTTTTTCTTTTCTTTTTGGCCTCCAATATTCAAACTTCAAAGTAGGGTGTGAGGCATATTCTTTGCAAATGTCGGGGATTTTGTGTCTCTGAATTTTGACTTATAGTATTGATTCTGTTGAATAGTTTAAGTTGTGAGATATTTAACAGTATATTTTTTGAAAGCCATTAGTTACTTACCTTGATATTTTTTATGTATTCAGAAATTTCTCATCTGTTATCATACATATGGTTTGTGGTGTTTGCAGTTTAATGACATATTGAACACAATCTTCTCATCACCTCCAACTGTTGCAATGACCGTTGGGACACTGCTTGATAACACACTTGAAGCAAGGGAGACGGCCGTAGACAGAGGACTTCCTTGGTGGAAACCATTCCAGCACAGGAAGGGAGATGTCAGAAATGAGGAGTTTTACAATTTCCCTCTCAGAATAAATCAGTACATTCCTACTAGATTTATGTGATTACACACTTAAAACTAGCTACTTTTATATTAATTATGATGCTATAAGTAACTTTCATGTTTATATGCAAGTTGAGTTGAGTTGAGATATGATTTATATGAGAAAAAAGAAAAAGAAAACCTCCCATGTCCCAAAAGGTTTTTCCCAGTAGCCTTCTGAATCTGAAGGTCCTTTGGGCACGGGAGTGTTTGGCCATCACTAGAGGTTTAAGAAACATTTTGTTGGCTTTTGGTTTATTTTGAAATTAAAAAGAAGAAATGTTGCGGGCAGAAAATAATGTGATGAAATTTTGTATGAAATGTGAAGGCATTTATTTTTCGGTGAGTGTTAGATGTCAATAAGTTACATCCGAAACCGACCAAAGAAGCTATTGGTTCATATAATATTTTATCGGGGACCACATGTTCAGTTTTCAACAAATTTTCTCAGTTTCCAATGGTGTATTCCAGTATATTCCTTAATCTATGTTGACAGAAACTTCATTTTCAGCTTTCTCCTCTATAAACAGAAGACAACTTCAAATGGTCCCCTTTTTCTTTTCGTCTTCTTATAACTTACAATTGATGACATAGTATAATCAAATGTACCAAATTTCAAGGCCTAACTTTTGGATTCACATGGAAGTTGCTTCGTTAATATCTTTAGTGACTCTTTGACGGTCCCCATCGCCTACCACTAATGTCATTACCAGCAAATATATATTTAGTCTTTTTTTTTTTTTTTTTAGTGGTGTTTTGTATGCCATTGATGCTTTTTGACACCAGTAATTTGTACAAGTGTTAAATAAAGTTTTAAAAATCACACGTAAATAATTATAAGAGTTAAATAAAGTATTGTTTTCACAATAGTATGCAAAGACGTAAAAATAAATGAGATAATAAAAGTTTTTATAGTGGTTCAGATGCTTAAAGTGATTCATATATCCATTGTTTTCTTATATAATAGTAAGTTTCTGATTATTAGCTAATATTACAAGAGGCCGTGAACGACCTGGTTTATAGGTGTTTAGTGTTCTAAATATTGTTAGAGAATATCAAGTTAATCTCTTTTTAATAGTGTGTCTTTGCTATTTTCTTTGTTTAGTTTGTGAGGGGGAACTACCCATTTATATCTGCTGATTTCAAAGTAATAATTACATATTTGTAAGTGGGTTGGTACCATGTAAATCTCTCTTATCTTTTTATTGCTGAGAACTTAAAAAATATCTTTAAATTAAATAAGGCTTAGACATGTGTGAGAATCAAATTTATTCAGAGACGAAACTTGAATCAGTTAGGTTGTGACAACTATATTATTTCTGTCTTGGACGATGTGGCAGATTCTAAATAATGTAAAACCTCCCTAAACTTATATTAGTATGCTGACATCAATTTATGTGAGCCTAATCTTTTAGCCAAAACATATACAAAGTTTTTATTAAATTTTAATAAAGTAATTTCTTCTATTAATTGTGTGGATCACATTTTATATAAAAATTTCAAACCTACAAATATTATTTTTCATGTTTACGAGAACGGAGATGATAACGTGGGACCTTCGTACCATCATCAATTTCTTCTTTTTTTGGTTGACTTGACATGGACGTCGATATTATTGATCAAAGATGATACAATATTTCCAATAAGAAATTTTCGTCAAAGGATGCTTCGTTTGTGAGAAAAATAACGTCAAGGCTGGTATCATTAACATAGAAGAAAAATTATACCCCCACTTTAGAAATTCGTCGCCACAGATGGAGCAATAAAGATATTCAAAAGACGATGATAATTAGCATTAGTTTTTAGCTTTTTTTCATGCTCGTTTAGAAAAAGTCCTCTCTAAGTCTCAGTGGATTATAATATTATTAAATATGGTCTTCTCTTAATCAGGATTCATGATCCGCATTACTGTACCCAGCACTGAAAAGTGAAAAGCACTCTTCTTCAGATAAGATGAAATTGTCAAATTGAATGCTTGCTTGCCCATAGAGCTTTTTGAATATAACAAAAAGAGTGACTTGAAAAGTGAAAAGTATTACCAGTCCGTAATCCTGCCAAGTGAGAATACAATTATTCCAAACCCTGGGGCTCGGTCTTCTAGATAATCTGCATTTGATATCATTCCATCACAGTTGATCTTGGCAAGCAAAAAACAACTTTTATTTATTTAAGCACAAGTTTTCCTAGCCATCCCACAATCTTAATATATGCAAACAAGGTTGTGAAGAGATCGGGGAAGCGACAAAGGCCGGCGTTGTCTGAAATTGATATGAGAGGGTCCACACGCTTTTGTTCCCGCGTTTCTTAAGGGAGGACTTTTGAGGCAGTCAAGAAATTATAATCAAACCCCGTTCTCCACCTATACACTACACCTTATTTGCTTAAGTTAGACACGTTTAGCTGCAATGCAAATTTTCCACAGTATCTCACTCAAGCTCATAACATGGAGCTGTCCCACACATATATATTTTTTAAAATAAATTTCTAGTTACGAGTTCAACTAAGATGTGCTTCATTTCATTGTTAAAACTGACTATTGTTAAGTTATTTACATTGACAGAGTAATACAATCTGTTTATTCATGAAGCCAATCCAGACTAAAAAATTTCTCCGGAACCTGAACATGGAGTCCTGGTATAGCCTTCTCCAAATCCTTCCACAGCCAAGAAATATCATCATCACAAATTACTTGACGTAGAGCCTTCAATGAAGCAGCAGACTTTGGTAGACTCCATATTTGTGAACACTCCCTCATGTCAATTTTCTCCAGCCTTGCTAAATTACCAATCCCTTGAGGAAGACATGTTAAGCTGACACATTGAGAAATGTTGAGGTATTTCAAACTAACCAGCTCAGAAATGCCAGTTGGGAGAGTCTTAAGAAGAGGGCTTGCATAGAGCCGCATAATTTCTAGAGATTTCAACTTGCCAATGTCAGCTGGCAATTCTTGTAAACCGTGGCAGTTAGTGATACTTAGACTCCTGAGTGACTGCAACTGACAAACGCTTGGAGGCAGCTTCATTAGATCATCACAGTGATCAATTGTAAGCTCCAAGAGGCGAGGGAACATCTTGGGCAGGTCTATCGTTGGCTGATCAAGACAGCCAATAGTTTTGCAGAGAACTAAAGATATTTTCCGCAAATTTCTAAGGGAAATAGTTGCCTCTGGTAATTGAGCAATTGAAACTCTTTCAAGCCAGAGGCTTCTAAGGTTACCTAAATCTGAACAAACTGAAAAGTTGCGAAGGGTAGCAGGGCAGGAACTATGGTTTATCACTATGAGCGCCCTAAGCTTTTCCATGCCCTTGATGAAGGGAGGCAACAAGTACTCCTTAGAAGAGAAGTTGAGGAGTAGCACTTCTGCCTTGGGGAATTCCATGCGAAACCAATCCATTTCTTTCATTTCCCCTGCATTGTAAAATTGCAAGACATGAGCTAGCATCAAGGGCATATTACCACAGAATCAACCAAGATTTATTATACTGTTACTTTCCCTTTTTAATTGGATGACCATAAAATCAATGGCATTTTAACTGAGACGCAATCTATAAAGAGTGACATCTATACCTGTATGAATGGAAACAATCTGAGCATTGAATGGCTGATCAACATTCCGCTCCCATTCTTTTGGAAGCTCCTCGTCTCTTCTAGGCATAAATAACCGCTTGCGGTCATTTATCTTGTCACGATTGTTCCAATGGAGAGCAAGATCTCTAAGAACATCATGTTGAGTGACGTAGATCTCATAGTAAGCACTATACATGTCTCCAGCTCTGTTAATTGAGCACATTAAAGGCGTCAGAGTTCAGAAAATAACACTTCTATAGTAGGTCATGAAATCCTTAAAAAAATACCTTGAATCTTTAACTAGGGTGAGAAGGTTTCTATCACAAAGCTCCACAAGGATGGCAAAAGCCTCCTCCTGATCAATGTCATGGATCTCAACCCAGATATTGATGAGCACCTCCATTGGAATCTTTTTGTCTTCAGGAAAGGATCCCAAATCTAGGAAGCATTCCTTAACCTTTTCTGACAAGTCTTCAATGCTTATTGCCATCCGAACAAGCAATTCGGTTTCATGAGACTCACAAATAGGCTGTCCTCGTGATAACCTTTGCTTGGCACTTACCCAATATTTTTCAGGCCGATCCCTCAGTGATGCTCCAATAACTTTAAGAGCCAGAGGCAGCCCTCTACATTCGTTTACAATCTGTTGAATCAATTTTTTCATGAGCATTGGCCACAGAGAAAAATCAAAAACAGAAAGATACCAGCTATCAAATTCATGGTTGTATCATTCAATTTCCTGATAATGAGATAGTTTAATATTACCTCCTTGACCAAATTCTCATTTGCAGCTGGAGGAATGGTGTTCTGTTCAAAAGCAGAGTGGCAGAACAAGGATATTGATTCATCTTCTCTCAACAACTCTACTTCATGAACAGAATTGAGAACCGTTGAAAACTTGGTTCGGGAAACCACAAGTGTTTTGCAACCAGGAACCCTAAAAATAAGTTGTTGAAGCACTGCTAATGACCACACATCATCTAAGACCACCAAACTCCGAGGTCCTACTGTCCAAGGAACTTGTAGATTCCACGGTGGAACTGCACCATATGATCCCACATTACATCCAGATACGAAAGACCAAACCGTTGCCTTCAACAGCTCCACATTTGGAGATTGTGATACCGTAAGGAACAGAATTCTGTTGTTGAAGTAGCCTGAAAACGGAAATAACAAGCAGAGTCAATGTAATTCGTTAAGATAAAATGCAATCTTAAAGAGAAATTGCATAGAAAATCGGATTAAAACAATTGGCAAAAGCATCTTAAAAGAATTATGATATTGAGTTTAAAGAAGAAAACAAAATTTACCTGTGACTTGAATATCTCTGCAGACCTCGGCAGCAAGAGTGGTCTTCCCTGAGCCAGCAATCCCGCAAATCCCAACCACGCTCCAATCATCCCTTCCAATAATCATTTCCTTCACTTTCTTTTTCCCTAAAGCCATTCCTACTCCCATAAAATTTCCCAAATTACCCTCCACGCCTCTCTCAGCCTCCGTTTCCACTCTCATCAAGGCCTGCTCAGCCCACCCTCCGACTCCCACACCAATCTTCATCGACGAGAAGGACTCAAGACTCTTCTCAATCCTTCTCGTCGAAGCCTCCAGCTGATCAAACCTCTCCGTCGATTGAAACCTGACGTGATGAACATCAGCCAAGATATGTGCTTGCATGGGACCGCTGAAGAATACAGAAATTTTCTTCTCCAATTTATCCATCTTCCTTGCCAGTTGCATGTTCTTGTACACGTTCCAACGTTTTGCTCTGATAACCTTTTCACAGAGCTCCTGTCCATCACGGAGAGTCTCGGAGAGGCGGTCGAGCTGTGTCTGGCGTACAGCGGGAAGTTCAACGCCAGAGTATTTGATTTCTTGGATAGTAGGGAGGAGTGCTTCCATGGTTTCTCTGAGCTGGTCCGCACTGGATTTACAGAGAGAGGCCCTTCGAGATATTGTTATTAGCTGCTTTATGAGTTCGGTTGCGATCTCGCCCACGAAAAAGTCTGTTACGGCCATGGTGGTGAATGACTGGCGTTTTTCTGATACGAAGAGGACGTAGCCGCGATTACAAAATGGAATTGGTACAACGTTCTCGAGAATTGAGGAAATTGAACTGGGTGTTAGAAGTTGGCTTCTGATCAGCGTTTCACTTTCAGTAAGACCGTGGTGTGTTTACTTGAGGAAACTAGTGCAGCAGTGCTGTTAGAGAAAATTTAACTGATATGCCATCCCAAGTTTGGAATTGAGAATAAACGATATATTCCCACCCAAAAATCCCCAGTCGGCACCACTAATTTCCATTTATTCCAGATTTCCACCCTTAAAATAATACTGTTATCATTTTTAGGATAGTAAGAATGTAATTATCATAATACCCTTTAACCCTAAATTAATAAATTATATTTTAACCCTTAAATTACTAAAATTATAAAAGTAACCATCTTATTTTAAAATTACATCAATTACACCCTCAGTGACTGTGCACCGTCTCGGTTTTCACCAGATCTAGGCTATTTCCGATACCGGCAAAACCCCTGGTCACCTCCATCACCTTCCCCATCATCCGTCGTCCAAAACCCCTCTGGTTCCCGACTCATTGGGCCCTCCAATCGTCGGTGTCATCAAGCTTAGGTTTTTGTCGTTCTTCATCGGATTCCAGTCGATTTCGGAGACGAAAATCTAATTCGACGTCACCATTGCAACCAGCATCTCCTAATCTACAAAACCCCTATGTCTCAACAACCGTTTAGTGGCCATTCGCCGGTGGACACCGACGAAAACCAGTCGCATGTGACGGCTATCGTGGCTGGAGATCGGCGGGCGATGAGGGGTTGTCAAGGGTATGGTTTTGTAGAGGGGAGGATGAGGGTTCGAATGGTGGTGACAAGGGTGATTTTGGGTGGAAGAATCGCCGGAAAAGGGCGAAAAACGACGGCGATGATGTTGCTAACGTGTGTCGAATCTTTGTTAGGGGCGGCGATCTGTTAATGTGCGCTTCCTCTGTGAAATGACCAATTTACCCCTGAGCCGTTATATCTAACCATTTCCTGTTACTTTAAGGGTGAAAATCTGGAATAAATGAAACTTGTGGTACCAACTTGGGATTTCGTCAAATCTTGGGTGGGAATATGTCATTTACTCTTGAGAATATAACCTTAAAAAGGTTTTTAATTTTTTTTTTTTTTTGTCTAGCATAGCACACTTAAGCGTAATTAAAGCAACAAAAAGGGTTAGGGTGAAAAGATTTAAACATTTATGGGTTAAAGTATAATAAAAAGAAGTTGGTTTAAAATTTGAAAGGCAAAACACATTCCTCTCAGCTTCTCTTTCTCAAAACACGATTCAAACACCTTCCTCTCTCACGTTTTTTCTTCCAATTTTCTGCCATTTCTCAATTTCTTTGCTCTTTGCATTTTTGCCATTCCTGGTTAAGTTACAATGGCTGAGATCCTCAAAGAAACCGAAAAAACCCATTCACTCCCCAAATTGTAGGCACCACTAGGTCTACCAAAAATGGAGAAGAATAGGTTGCGGTGCAGTAACTTTCGATGACTGAAGTTGCTCTACCGGCAGAGGATACCCTGTCGGTAGAGGAGACAGAGCTAACATAAGACATCCCATTGGCAGAAGAAGGGACGACAAAATTCAAAATTGAAAATGAAGAGGAGGACGCCAGCGGAAATTCCAGCGAGGAGATGGAAGAAGAAGAAGAAGAAGAAGAAGAACAGGTAATAATCTATATATTTTATGAAATTATTGGTTGTTGGTACCAATTTAGGGATATTTGGTTGGTGTTTGTTGTTAAGGTCATTGTTGCATTTTGTTGAGCAATTAGAGAGCATCGGAGGAATGGGTGTTTTGGGTTTCCAAAGGACCGGAGAAGCAAAGGGAGGCCTTAGAGAGGTTGTTTATGGTAGGTTGGATGACTTTTGTTGGCAAAGAGAGCGAAATAGGGGGGCTGGGGGCTTGCCCTGCATATTACAGGGTTGTCCACGCGTAGCCAGCCCTGCAAGGCTTGCCCTTCATCATCTTTATTGTACATTATGCCAACAAGAAACAAGAATCTGTTAAGCAAACAAGAGTACATTTTCTTCCTCTTTATTTTAGTCATTTGTTAACTTTTTTGGTTGATTGTGCAAGGCCATTGTAGAAGTATATAATTCAATTTTCCAAGTTAGATTATTACATGTAATACCAGCAAAAAACAAGAACCTGTCAAGCAAACAAGAGTTAGTTGCATACTCCTTCCAAACCTCATGGTTCATGTCTTTTTTTGTCTATTATGATAAGGAATTTGACATTGTTTTTTCTGCAGGTTTGGCGATTTGTCTATTAATGGTTCAAAAACTTTGAAGCAACGAAGAGAGGAAGAAAGGAAGGCATCTAAAGCTAGTGGAGATACAAAAGCATGGAATAGATTTGGTTGTGTTTTTTTAGCAGCAGAAAGTGTATTTAGTTAGAAAGGGTTGGCAGAATCCATTGAATCTTTAGAGTAGGGATTGAAAGTGTATTTAGTTGAGACAAAATGCATGTTTTGGTAGGTTGTTATTTTGGGAACTACTAGAACTACTAGAACTATCATTTTCCAGATTTCTTTATTGTATTTGCTTCTTGTTAATCAATATAAATTCCTCAGTTTTTCTCTTAACTGATTGTTTGGTAAGTGAGGATCTTGGTTGACAAAATTTAAGGCTGTTGTTTTATTAGTTGTTCTCTTAATTTGTTGAAAACTTATTAGTGAATCAGAAAACAATTTTAATGGTTTGGATGAGTACTTTATGAGATTATCAAATTAGCCTTGGTCACTTAAGGGATAAAAGCTATCGCTTAAGAGATCAAGGCTCATCTATATTGGATCACTTAAGCGAGAGTTGACATCACTTATGCGATCATGTACTTAAGGATTATATAGACACAAATTGGCCTTTATCGCTTAAGCGATGTTTAAACGATGTAGGTTATCGCTTAAGCGATCAAGGCTTATATATGCTGGATCGCTTAAGCGAGAGTGTACTTGAGGATTATTTAGACACAAATTAGCCTTGGTCGCTTAAGCGATGTGGGCTATCGCTTAAGCGATCAAGGTTTATCTATGTTGGATCGCTTAAGCGAGAGTTGACATCGCTTAGGCGATCATGTACTTGAGGATTATTTAGACACAAATTAGCCTTGGTTGCTTAAGCAATGTGGGTTATCGCTTAAGCGATCAAGACTTATATATACTGGATCGCTTAAATGAGAGATGCATCGCTTAAGCAATCTTGTTTTTATATGGATTATTTGACAATCCCATATTAAGTAATGTTAATGTTAACTTGGGATGTTCACAACATCACAAGATTCGAGAGAAAAGAAGCAAATTAATCTTGATCGCTTAAGTGATATCGGTTATTAACACATATTAAGGCCATTTATGGAGGATTATTTGACAATCTAATTCCATCAACACATATTAAGGCTATTTAAGAATATTATTACCATTAATTTAAACCTCGGACATTCACAACATCAAAAGATAACAACTACGATATGTGACTAACAACCCTATGATACATGGAGAAATGTCATAGCACACTAGTGTGACATGTTAGTAGAAACATACCTCATTTCACAAATATGTATTTGAGAATGATATAATTTCTCACTCATTCCACATTACAGAATATAATTTCTCACTCATTCCACATTACGGAATATAATTTCTCACTCAAACGTTCACAATATCAAAAGATTGAGGAGAAAAGAAGCAAATTGGCCTTGGTCGCTTAAGCGATCACGACTTATCTATACTGGATCACTTAAGCGAGAGCTGACATCGCTTAAGCGATGGTGTATTTGAGAATGATTATTCTAAGTACAGAACCCTTGATCGCTTGAGCGATGTCTACTCTCGCTTAAGCGATCCTGTACAGATAAGTCGTGATCGCTTAAGCGACTAAAGCCAATTTTCTTTGTACTTGACTATTCCTTCTCAAATTTAAGATCGCTTAAGCGATGTTAGTTCTCACTTAAGCGATCCTATACAGATAAGCTGTGATCGCTTAAGCGATTAAGCGATAGCCGACGTCGTTTAAGCGACGAAGGCCAATTTTCTTCGTACTTGACTATTCCTTCTCAAATTCAAGATCGTTTAAGCGATCCTGTACAGATAAACCGTGATCGCTTAAGCGATAGACAACGTCGCTTAAGCGACCAAGGCTAATTTTATTTGTACTTGACAGTTCCTTCTCAAATTCAAGAAAATTCGCTTAAGGGATCATATATTGATAACATCTCAACATTGAATGAATTTATATGCAAATAACATCTCAATATTGCATTAATTTAGTAGCACAATAACAACTCAATATTGAATGAATTTAGTAGCACAATAAGAACAACAATTAAGTAACTAGAAGCATCCTTACTATCATTTATTCAAAACTTCAAACAAAAAGATATCCAATTGTGAACGTAAAATATTGAAAACAACAAAGCATTCATAACAAGTCCATGAGATGAAAAAGGTAATCTCATAAAGTACTCATCAAAACCATTAAAATTGTTTTATGATTCACTAATAAGTCTTCAACGGTTGGCCTTGGCAACTCTCTTGATTTCATCCTTCTTCTTGATGGCATAGCTAGAAATACAATGATATAAAATCAGTTTAATGCACCATAAAAGATTGACATACAGCCAAGAGAAACTAGTGAACAAGTAAACGGAACAACATCTAGCCACTCACCAAAATATTCAACACCCAAAACAACTTGTCCCATATCTAATAATAGCCAAGTGTTTATAATGCAAGAAAACAAATTATTAACCGATATATTAAAGGTTGACAGATTTTAGAAAGCATCTGCAGAGTCGCATAAGCGATCTAGTATAAATAAGCTTGATCGCTTAAATAATCTGCTGCCATATACCCGTTCGCTTAAGCAACCTGTTGCCATATACCATACTTATATCAGATCGCTTAAGCGATACACTAGATCGCTTAAGCGATCTGCTGCTATATACCAGACTTATACTAGATCGCTTAAGCGATCGATTAGCTCCAGAATACATTTTCAGTCATCTCCACCTATAATCGGTGCTACCACCCCCAGCTACTTACAATGTAAGAAAATTATCAACAAATCTCACTCCTTTCAACTTGCATTACACCAAACACAACCCAAGAACTTAAACCACTAAATCAAAATCATAACTCAAATCCAATCCATCATTAAATCTTTGTAAATAGAAATATAAAATTCAAAGAGGAGATACACATACTTGGACGAAATGTCAGGAGGAGGAAAAGACAGATATTTGGCATTGAAGATGTTAATGGCGGAGGAAGAAGAAGATGTAGAAGAAGAAGAAGATCTTCGATTTTGCTAAGAAGATACAGCAACCAGGGGAGGGCAGTTCCGACGCATTAATGGCGGAAAGGAGGAGGAAAATGAATTTGTTTTGGGTTTTGATTTATTTGCAATAATTTCGGGTTTTTGGGGATATAGTATAATTTTTAAAAGATTAAAAAATACTTTATTAATCCTAATTGAAACATTATTAGTGCTTAATCATGTTTAATTATTCTTAATAAAAAATAAGACTATTTAGTTAAAAGTTTGAAACTTAACAACCTTTTAATTAAATTTAAACTCAATATGATTTTTTAATCAAAAGATCCCTACCCGTGCTGTTAAACAAAGGTGCTTTTTTAAAGAAAGAATAATAATTAACTTGCGCATAATCCACGGCGATTACAAAAACTGAAAAGAAATTAAACAAAAGGTTTACTTTTAAACAAAAACAGAAATTTGAGACGGCCGCTATCACTGTTCTTCTCGATTAAAAGTATAAGCAAACAAATTAGTTGTCTTTAACTCCTATCCCTAACCCAAACTACTAAAAACTTTTCTGTCTAATCTAACTATAACTTGTTTCGAATAAGAAAGATGGTAGATTTTCGGGTTTTTTATTTTTTTATTTTTTTACATAATAAAATAATAATAATTTATTGACTTGGTAAATACTGGAAAGAGCTGGATCAGTTTGCTTTACTCTGCTCATTCACTTATTATTGAATGATAAGGTCAATGGTTGATATCTATTGCTTACCCTTCTCGGTCGTTAGAGATTGATCTGTTTATTCAATGGGGGAAATTGAATATGAAACTATATTGTACGGAAACCACTTTTTCCCCGGGTTTAACTAAAACAACTATAAAAAACCATGAGCGCTTCCAATAGCCATCGGATGCAAGTCAATCTTCTCTAAATAATTGCAAGATATTGATATGCGGCCATTGTTGAAAGTGGAGATGGCCACGAGGTCATTGATGAACGAAATGACGAGTCTATCCCCCACTTTTCTTCTATTGAGTGGGCGAAATAATGGAAGTGTGAGTCAAATGCAGAAAAAAAAGGCAAGACTGCTCTGTGACTGAGCTAAGCTTTTGTAAGCCTTTCAACCTATTGCTCCAAGCCCAAACAAACGAACATGCCTCTTCAATTGTGATATCTATGAAACTTCACGATCAGAGAGATTGATGGAGGAGACACACAGTGTTCTACTATAATCCCTTCCAGGTTGCATACATTGCATCTGATGAGAAAGCGATTGAGGTGATTTCATTTGATGTTGATATTTAATGTAGAATCTACCAAGAAATAGATTGCATCTTATCAGTTTAAAATTATGTTTGCAGAAAAATTGGTACATGAAAATTTTAACAAATCCACTGGTACATAAACTCCTACACTAACACTTTCTCAAGCAGAGGTAACACAGAATTACTTACCTCTTTTCAAGTTAAAAGATTACCAATTGTCAACACTGCTGAGTCCAGTGGTGGCATAAAATATATATGTAATCCCTTCCCCCATCAATCCCATCTTGCTGGAGTCAGTTTAAGTTGGTGATTGAATCTCCATAAATTCACGATCACTTGTTAGCTCCGTAAATTCAACCATGCTTTATGCTTAGTAGTGAGTATCACATACAAAGTCTGGTTTGATGGAATCCTGGAAAATAAAAGCCTCAGTTAGCATGAACCATTCTAAATGTTCAGCATAAAGTTAGTCTTAATTATAGAGGGCATCAACATTAGGATAAAATAAATCAAAGCATTGAAAATCTTCTTACACCCTATTATAAACTAAACAGCTTTAATTTGAATCTCAGATTCTACACTAAATTTTTTTACAGGATAATATGCGCCTCCTTCGTGGATAGTTCCAATTCTGTGATCGGACGGCAATGCCTGAGGCAGCCATCCTTTCAATCTTTCTAAGTTAGAGGTAGGAATTAGGCCTGGACCCAAAAAGCCTAGCCCAAAAAACCGGGATTGGACCAGGCCCAGGCCCAAACCCCCCTCCCCAATTTCCTTTTAACCTCTGTAAAATATCCCAAACCCCCTATTTGATATGAAATTGATAATAAATATAAGAGTTAAAAAAAATTTTACAAAAAAAAATTGTCCAGCCCATAGGATGGGACCGGTCCTATGAGCCCATGACCAATTGTGGGGACCAGTTTAGGCCCAAATTGGGCCCAGACCCTTGAGGGCCTAGGCCTAGGACCAACTGGGCTCAAGCCTTTCCCACCTCTATTATAAGTCTTAGGGCCCAAGGTGAGGAAATTGTTGAGATAATGGCAGATAACTTAGATAAAAATAATACAACACCAACAACCCTCTCTCAAAAGCTTTCTCTTTCAACCCCGACGTGACAGTTCATAATTGATCAGTTTATAACGGGTCTCACATGGATCTTGTATGAGCTTCACAAATTAATTGCGAACTGTTACGTCAGGATTATAAGAGAAAGTTTGTGAGAAATGATTGGTGGTGTAGAATTATACTGTTACTCTTTATATAATCCTGAGATGGAAAAGCTCTGCCCATCTGATATCCATGTTGAAGTAGGACAAAACTAGAGGCAAATGTCACGTCCAAAAAATAATAACGCTACATATACATATATAAGTAAATATCTTAACTTTATATTCTAAGAAATTGATTTATACAAGTAAAATGATGCGATAAATAATATAAGCAATTGATGATATGATGTGAAAATGATAAAACCATCCTACATCTTCACCAATAACTTAGGACAAAAAATTAGAATATTAGAATGTTTAATTATATTTAGTTATTTACTCGCTAAAAAAAAAAAAATGGGGGAAGGATCCTTCAAGTGCCCTTTTTCCAAACTGAATATGCCGGGAATCGGGATCGTTAAAATAAAGCTCAAACTTCCAAGTAATCATCTGTGAAGTAAATGCAATTTGCCGCTAACAAACTTTTAAAACTAAACCAATCTTAGGTAGCTTAAGTGGTAGAACAAATGCTAGGATATGAGATTAAAGCTCAAGATTTCAGGTTCGAATCTCCTCAACTCTCAAGATTTAAGAAAGAGAGTATGACGGTGGAATGCTATGTTACCGCGATTTAAGTAGGAGATGATGACATGATTAGTCAAATTGAACGATTATACAACAAATACATACCCATATCGTATCCATCCACATTTTACTGCAACAGTTGTTTTTTCCTTCACATCAAATTTAGAAACCGGCAATGGCTATTACCTACCGCTTATTTCTCCAACAGTTCTTGAAATTTTCACTCAGCAAATTGGAAAGAATAGATAAAGCATAGCCCTAACTGATTTGGGTTTTTAAAACCAAGTAATTGGCTTTATTCTACTCAATTTTTACTCTTCTAAAAAAGCCAACAGAAATTAATTAAGAATGAGGCAACCTTGTATACACTTTTTCTTATGCATCTGACACATTGCTGCTGGAAGAATTCTTGGATCAACTGCCTTAAGTTCTAAAAACAACATTACTATAATTACTATAATTTTTGATCGCACCATATCCAACACAGTAATTCTATGTTTGATACACCTCCATCACTGTGATGTCTGGCCAGGACCTATACAACCGAATACCTCTCCTTCCAGCTAGCAGCTATGGGTCAGATCTTAAAACTATGTAACTGACCTCAAGGAGGTAGTGAAATGCAGCAGATGTAATTAACTTCGATTTCCACTGCCCTTTCCTCCATTAGTTTTGAAGTCCCACAAACTTATTCTTACTCATCATAAGTCCACATGGCGACACGAGAATGAGAACCTACATGACTCTGCAGCCCTTGTCCTGCCATCTTTGAATCAAGCAATTGAAGTTGTCTTTTGATCCATGGAGGATCATTTGGTTTCAACCATAGAGCTTCACCAGTATCCTTATGCTTAAAATCAGGTGATCCTGGCGATAACTTATTTTTTCTGTTATCCCACCATTCATATGGGTTGGAGAAGTACAACTGCCACAAATATTCTTGGCTTACATGCTTATCAATATCAGCTTCACCTAGATTTGTTACAAGAGGAAGGATTAAAAAAATAGATGAGAAGAAAGACAAAAAACCTTGAAAAGTGATTGGCAATTCAAGAAGCTATAGAACTATCTGTTTATTGGTAATGACACAGACCATGGTGAAACAAAACTACAAGTTCAAGTGCTCAACCACAGCTTAACTGAGCATTCATTTTCATCCCTTTGTCATGTACCATTGACCCAGTTCAGTGATTGGTACCAATCTTGGGGCTATAATAAAATTTGCAACCAAAGAACAACTTTGGTGTCTAAAGTTTTCCATTGTTGTATTTCTATTTCTGCTGTCCTACAATTCCATAAGAGTAACCAAACAAAATCCAGACCTTTGAGGTAAGATTTAACATGATTAAATGCATAAAAGCAGTAAAATTTCCATAAGAGTAGTGTTATTCTTAAAGACTTTTCCATTAAATTGATGATGCAACTGATTTAAGACAATCATGTTAGTAATCACATCCACCTATCTACCACATAATTATGACAAATGAATTATGGCATCAGTATGTACTAAAAATTTTGTAAGCAAATTTGTAGGAATAATATTTATTTAACCCATAAATTACTATCATAATCATGTTACAACAGACCTTATTCAACCAGAGCTGTGTTGGCCATAAAAACCCTCCATTGACTCCGTTAAACATTAAATGTATTGCTTAAAGCTTTGATTATATACTAACTCAGCAACAATTAGCTCGTTTCCAGACAAAAAGGAGACTGACGTTGAAAAATATGTATCAACCACAAAAAATCTGTACCTTCTCCTGATTTTGATTCCTTAGGTTTTTGGCAGGTCAAACCTTGACGACCATGTCTTTGAACATAATTTAGATCTTTTACGTTCACCTACAGGAATACAAGCAAAACTTACACAAGAATCCATAGGTTTTAGCCATTGAAAAAAAAAAAAAATGTAATCAGCTCTGTGAACCTTGTAACGTAATATGAGGTTCCCTCCCTGATCGGTCTTTGTGTAAGACCCTAAAGGTCCTGAAACATAAATAAAATCATTTGGCTTCAGATTTTTTTCACACAATTCTGCCATGTCATCCCTCATGCTCAGTAGTATCCTGCTCATACATTGCAAATGATAAATGATGAGCAACAGACTCCCAAACAAAGACATCCATGCATATATAAAAAAAAAAAAAACGAAAGAAATATAAAACCCAACTTATACTGTGGAAATCCATACCCTGCAATTAGATTGTTAAACTAAAATGAGCTGATTTTCTTAGTACACGGTAGTGGCAATCTACAAATGTGAAATTATTTCGTTGATTTTAAATAAAAATCACTAACAAGTTCTTTGGAAAAAAGAAAAAAAAAAAACGCTGACCTAAACCCTCCATTCGAATAAGGAGAATGGACGACCTGAAGGTAAGTGTAACCGAAACAGCCAGTGTTCGGATTTTTTTTAAGGGGGAAACACACTAATCCAATAAGGCTGACGCAGTTACGCAACTCGGGTCGCCACTTTATCGTCGTTGGACGCTGAAATTTGAGCGCGTGTCGGTAAACGGCGCTCCCACCTTCCGCCTCATCGGAGAAAAAGCCAGAAAGTTTAGAGTACGTAGCCAAAGATGATGATAAAGGCGCCGATCTTTGGAGAGAAAACCGGGACAAAGTTCTGATTAGGAGTCCGACACGGCACGCGATCATAAATTCAGCGGACGATGGATTATTCCGGTTCGATTTTGATGGAGAAAGTGAAGTGGCGGGTTTTTGCTGAAAATTGATTCGTGAACTGAGGTTTAGTTGGGCACGATGTGGAAGTGGGGTCAGGGCTTAAGAGCTCTGGGCTTGGGCCTTGATTGATTTGCTTGGTTTACTTTGAATTGGGCTAAACCATTTGGATTGGGTTAGTTACTCTGTTCCTCCGACGATTGGACGAGCAATCTTTCAACTTTGTGAAAAGTCGATGACGACAAAACATAACATAGGACTTATTACGGTCATCGCAGGATTGCTTCAAGAAACAAATGACCTTTTGTAGGCTTTAATCTAATATGGTTTCATTTTATCTAATATTATTATGTGTAACTACATCACAGAGAGAGAGAGAGAGAGAGGAAGTCATTTTATATATATAAAAAATAATACAAAGTTCAAATTCCAGGTCAATATATTATTATAAACCAGTTGAACAAAATTGACTTTCAGTTATCAAAGAAATGTGTAATGATATCCAATTCCAAGGAGGGATTGCAAGATCATGGGGGAGAGAGATATCATATTGTTATGGAGGCAATCAGGTCATGCGGCCGGCTAGAGTACGTATAAACGCAAAACACGGAGAAAAAGCTAAAACTTGGAAGTAACCCCGTCATAGTTTTTATTGAATATTTCATTTGAGAATACTATGTTGTTTCTTGCAGTTAAAAGAGTTCCTACATTCTCACTCCATCAAAACTCAACAAATACACTGATCACGTTGAACACAACTCTACTTACTATTGCTCTCGTGGCATCCGTTTAGTATGTCGTGTGATCACGCGCCTTTGTGTTGACAAACTAAAGTACGTTTTGCCAGTTTGCCGTACGCACACGGCATGTCGTGGATCTCGTCAACCTTGACTTTTATATGTTCTTGTTCGTCTCCATGCTAATTTAGTAATTAGTATCGTGGGACACGTATTGACTTCGTGAATGATCGATTTCTTCAACAAAATTGCTGGATTATTTTATTAAATATAATATACCAAAAGAAAATTTGAATTAGATTTGTGGGTTTTCAAGTTTGATCTGACAGTAGGAGAAGGGTCATGTTCCAGGTCTCTTTCCATCTTAGTTGTTGACTGAAAAATTTAGATTTAGAAAATTTATGAAATGGTAGACAAAGTAAACAGAGAAGGAACCGAGGTGTTTCCCCTAGGTCATCAACATAGAGATAGGAGCTGAAATAGTTTCAGTTCCACATGAAGCTTAGCTGGTTCCATCTTGCTGTCTCAAATGCAAGCGAGTGGGAATGCTGGTAATTTTCTCCAAAGTCCAGGCCAATCCTCGCCTAATACAATTCGGAAGCTCAGGCGCATGAGGAAGCTTAGACACGCTACTGACGATGAACTCGGCTTGTCCTCCACCGATCGTTCTTCTCCCTCTTCCGGTTTGACGCGGAAGTCGCGGTCCTCGGACCACTGGTCCTCCTTCGCCGTTCCAATACCTCTGCCGCTCCCTGAATCTTCCGTGCTTCGAAGACCGGACTCTTCGGGTTCCAATCCCGGTCATAGTCTCCAATTGCCGGAGGAGGGGCTTAGCTCTTCGTTAGGAAGGTAAATCATTTCATTTAGACTTCATTTGTTAAGATTTTTTGAAGAGTATTTTCCGGAACTAAATTTCCTTTTGCATCAATTAAATAAAAATTTACTTAGAATTTTTAATTTTAAGTTTTTAACTATGTTTTTCTGTGTTAATTTGTTGTAATTTATGCTACCAGGAGGAAAAACTCAAATCATGTCACCAAAATTTCAGACAAATCTTCAAGTCATTTTCTTAAGGGAGACTCTAAAGATGTTAATAATAGGAGGAGCAGCCCAACAAGGGGTTTCTTAAGTCCTGCTGTTAGCCCACAAAGATCAAATACAGCAGGTACTGATCTTTTTTCTTTGCCTGGCCCCGATTCCAATTCTTTAAGCACTCGTCGTAGGGGATTCTCTCATGATTTAAAAGTTGATCACCCATTAAAGTTGGATGTTTCTCCCAAGAGTGCTCCAACAAGTGTTTTGTCAAGTCCTGCTGTTAGTCCTCAAAGACCAAAACCTGGAGATCGTTTCACTTCTTTCTGGGCTCCTAAAGAAATTCAGGCTTGGTCAACTGTAGAAGTCTTAGACTCGAGTAGGAATTGTACTTCACCGGTCTCACCAGTTAGAACAAGTGTATATAGCGCTGATCATTCTCCCCTCCACAGCCCCACTATGCAAAGCCCAAAAAAGAGCCCCAGAAGTCCTAAATTTTATTTCCCATCGCATCATCAATCACTTCCACAGCCTGAACTTGATCGCCTTTCCAGTGCCCACAAATTGCCTCTTCCTCCTGGAGCTTTGGCAGCACCACAATCATCTATGCCATCCCCTGTGATTCATCAAGTTATTGAAATGCCAAATCCATTACCAATGAAGAATCAATGGCAAAAAGGAAAACTTATTGGACGTGGTACTTTTGGAAGTGTTTATATTGCAACCAACAGGTGTAGTAAGCAGAAGTTTTTTCTTCAAGTTGGTTCTTAACTTTCTTTTATTGAACACTAATCTTTATCTTTCTTTCTATTTATGGGGTCTTCCAGAGAGACGGGAGCTTTATGTGCAATGAAGGACGTTGATATCATCCCTGATGACTCTAAGTCTGCTGAATGTATAAAGCAGTTGGAGCAGGTCACTATCTGGGGTCCTTTCTCAAACAATTTAGTTGGTTACAAAATAGTTGCTGTTTAAATCACTTACTGAGGAATATGCAAATTTGAATCATTTGTCGTATCCTAGAATATTTGTTGCCAATAGTATTCTGTTTCAAGAATATGGGATTGGAATTTGTATTTGTCTTACATGAATTCTGGCCACAATAGTTGATTGTCAAATGAAATCAAGCCTGAACATGGTGTTCACAGTAAAATAAGTGGCATGCATAAATTCAGTCACCCTTTTCCTCATTTTGGCTCAGCACCTGAGACCAGTACCAATCTACCACTCTGTTTGCTAAATTCCTAGGGATAATCGTACCAATCTGAAATGCTGTTTAGAAGTTCTAATTCTTGTTCATCACCACTTCAACTGTGTGCAACTGTGCATTGAGGATACATAAGGCACTATAATTCAGTCAGATTAGTTGGACATATGGTTTTTTTTTTTTTTTTTACCCCTTGAAAACTAACTATTCCTACTTTTGGTAATTGTTGCAGGAAATTAGAGTTCTCCAACACTTAAAGCATCCAAATATAGTACAGTATTATGGAAGTGAAGTGGTGTGTTGTTCTTCCGATAGAATATGCTAGATTTGAGTGTGTTTGTATTAGTGCAGATATAATTCGTTCAGGGAACATTTTTTCCACTGCAGGTTGATGATCACTTTTACATATATCTGGAGTATGTTCATCCCGGATCTATTAATAAATATGTCCGTGACCATTTTGGAGCTATAACAGAATCTATAGTTCGCAATTTCACTCGACATATTCTCTATGGGCTGGCTTACCTGCATAGCACAAAGACAATCCACAGGTAACAATTGTGCTTGACATGGAGCAGAGCATTATAGTTTAACTTATTTGTTAATAGTTTACGATTACACTTTGCAGATTGCTAAAGTCCATATATTTTCTTAATCTTGTAAAAAGGCGGCAGTAAAATTATCAATGATGTTTTGGAAGAATTGAATGACTGCTTACTTTACAGATTTTACTGTTTTGACATACTTGCTTGTTGAATTTGGATTTTGTTGGAGAAGTGGCTGGATTTTTGGTTATAAACTTATTGCTTTGGTCTATGAATATACTTATCTAAATGATTATAATTTATAGGGATATTAAAGGTGCAAATCTGCTTGTTGATGCATCTGGTGTTGTAAAGCTTGCAGACTTTGGGATGGCAAAACATGTGAGTTTTGAGATTCTTTAGCACTATGTAGTAATGAATATTATTTTTGTTTGATCTATTGTAATCTGAGGGTATGCTTCTCAAACATTATCTTTTAATAGATCGTGTTCATTGGTATCTTTCCTAGCTAAGATTTATCTGTAAGAGTGTTGTGCTTGAATGTTTATTAACATAAGCATTCATTATTAATGATGGATGAAAGGAGCATCCTTGTGGTTGTATGATTTTAGCATCCATTGGACACGAGTAAATTACATAATAGGAGCCTCCTTTTTTGTGTATGTCAAGTACATAACCATAATAGTGTTGACATTAGGCTGGTAAGCATGAAGCAAGTGGTCAAATAACTATTCTACTAATAATTGATAGGATGTTTTAGACATCTTATTCTGAAATTATATAGAGTATTGATTGAATTTATATTGGTTACTATCATTTTTATGGAGGTCATTTTGAAAGAGTAATCCCCCTTTTGCAATTATGTTTACATGCAATTCTGTCTAAACATGTGGCTTTTTGACTTGGCATCAGCTGTCCATCACCGGTGTGCCTGTAGTTTTATATATTTTATTTTTTTTCTTAATATGAGTCTTGTTTGTATTCAGCTTACGGGATTATCATATGAGCTATCTTTGAAGGGCAGCCCATACTGGATGGCTCCTGAGGTACATCACCATATCACATTGGAGTCGTTAGTAAATTCATTTCTGTTTATACCTACTTTTTCATTATTGTTTTTTCATTTTATTTTTTTGCAGGTGATGCAGTCTGTAATGCAGAAAGATGCCCACTCTAATCTTGCTTTGGCTGTTGACATTTGGAGCTTAGGTTGTACTGTAATTGAGATGCTTACTGGTAGACCTCCATGGGGTGAGCTTGAAGGGGTTAGTACTAAATTAAAACTAATGTCTTTTCTATTCATTGGTATTTCGGCATGCCCAATACTTGGTTTAATATGAACTGGAACCCTATTTTATTTACCCGATAAGGGTTAATGTTTGTATTAGTAAATTAATTGTAGTTAATGTTTATTTATGTATAATTGATTCTCTGCACTATTATTTCGAGATCTTTCTAGAAAGATTGAATTATGCATTGTAACATAAATTCATTAGCATGCATAAGGTTACTGGACCTCTGAATACCTGTGAATAAGCAGGTGCAACTGCTGTTAATTGCTTCTCCTTTCTTTTAGCAATCTGAATTCTCTTTTCATCGAAGAAACTCATATTTTTATTATTTAGATATTTAAATTTTGGAAAATTTCTCACTTTTTCATGTCATCAACTCTTTTACAATTTTTCACTCTTGAGTACTGAGTTCTATAGTTAATTGCTCTGCTTCCAGGTGAATTAGTGACAAACTTTTAAATCACATGGGAGATTCTGCTTTAAGGATTTAGAACATCTTCCGTAGCTTGCTTTCCTGATAGCATATTCTGCTTGTTGATGATTTTCTTTTGCATGTTACTGAATGGGCTTATAGCTTGGTTTCTGATATGGTGATTTACTTACGAAATCAAAGAGAGAATGCTCATTTCTTGTCCTCATGTTTTCTGTAAGGGTTTGCACATGATCTTTTCTCTACCAATCACTTTAATAGTCTCATCTTCTATTTGTTAGCCTCAAGCTATGTTCAAGGTCTTGCATAAAACCCCGCCTATACCAGAAACATTATCTTCAGAGGGAAAGGATTTTCTCCAACGCTGCTTTCGAAGAAATCCTGCAGATCGACCATCAGCTATGCTGCTACTTGAGCATCCTTTTGTCCGTAACTCAAATGATCAAAATTTATCAGTCTTGGCGCAGGGTATTTCGAAAATGAACCTAACGGTATGTACTACATACCACCTGTCGGTTTCAGCTGATTATAATGTCCAATTGGTTTGATTTTATTTTTCCTTCCACAACTTTGACGTGCAAATATTATTGTATACTGATGGTATGTTTCTGCTTTTGTAGGATAGATCTCATAGTCCAATAGACCGTGCTGCACAGAAAGTTGATTTTATACCAAATTCGCCAGGCACACCACCACGTAGAGATAGGAAGCAGCCTTGTAATAGGTAAATGCATCATGTTCCCCTGAACTAGTTGCAGGGTTGTGTGGAATGAATGATTTCACTTCAGCATGACTAAATGTTTTGGCTCGATGCAATATAATTCTTTATTCTTTGTGTTTTTCTTTTCCAGTGAAACCTTTCGCCAATGTTATACATTTAACTGGGCTACAGCTTCTCATCACTCTCCATGTTCTACGCTTGGAGTAAATCGTTCTTTACCTACAGGTCAATTGATTCATAATTCACATAATTTTAGTCCCTCGTCAAACGACTCTAGCAATATGGCCCTTGGTGCAGTGAACAACCACCCTTGTGCTCTCTCAAGGACTCATGGAAGGGAAGTTCCACACATCTGATACATGTTATTGGTTGAAATTGATTTGGTAGTGAGCCGGGGAGAGAAGCTAGCAAGAGGCGAGAAGCCGGTTTTGATTTTGGGTTTAAACTGAGTAGAGGTTAAATTTTAGTTTTTCATTTTTAACCTCTAATTCCTGCTATGTAAATACAGGGTGTATTATGTGGGAAATCAACACGGCTGGATGAGAAAGCTGGTACCTTGTTGTTTAGTAGGTTTTGTGTTAGTGTTTGTTGTATAATGTAACCAGGAAGAAAAATTTAGTGTCATGTTTTGGACCTTTGGTTATGTGACAAAGGAGATAAAATAAGCTGATAAAAAATTGGTGACATTATTTTCATATTTTTGTCCAAATGAAATTCATCCTTGACAACCAGCTCTCAGCAAGAACTTGATTTGTTGGATTTTTCATCATATTTATGTCAAATAATGTCATTGTTGTATAATTAAATAGATAAATGGGAGATAAAATAAGCAGTAAAACAGTTTTTTATCAGGCTGATTGATGAGGTTTATGCTTTGAGTAATACAAGAACCAATACCCATAATAATGATAATCTTAAAATTATAGCAATAATTGAATCCACAACTTAAACTTTATATAGGTGATAGCAAGGTATGTCTTGTCCCAACTTTTCAAATCAAGTTTATGCGAGCAGCTTTTGAAATTAAGGGGCGTTTGGTTAATAAAATATTGAATTACTGAAAAGTTAGATTACCTTGAAGATTATTGGAAATATTTAAGAAAATGTGTTTGGTTAATTGGTGTGTATATTATATTAATATGTTTGGTTAAGAAAAATAAATTAGTGGGTATGTTATTAAATTACTTAATTGTCCTCTAATTAAATATAATTATTATATTATTTTTAATATTGATTATTATTTGGATTATTATAACTTCTGCATTTAAAAACTTAGCAAAAACAATCACATAATAAAAGTTCAGAAAATCAACAAAACACCCCCACCAACCGAGCCACTGCCGGTTGCCGGCAGCCTAATAGGGCACGGAAGGCAGGAAATGGCCTTCGTGTGCTGTATGGTCATTTTCGGCTAGAGATCTGGCCGGAAATGGTCAGATGTGACAAATCTGGCCTTTGACGGATATATTAGATATGGTCATATCGGCGCACGATGGCCACTTTCGGCCTTTCATGCGCCGTTCCGATGTCTGCCACGGCAGTGGTTGCAGGCAACAGGTGACGACAGGTGGGTGGGGTTGGTGGACTGAAATTTGATTTGAATTCAAGGGTAATTTTGTTCAAAAAGTTATTTAATTGGGGTAAAATAGTAAAAGTTATATTCATGTAAATAAATTTAAAAATAAGAGAATTATTATCCTAAAATTTTATTAATAAAGAATAAAATTATAACAAAAAAAAAAGATTACTTTAATAATCTTAGAATACTTAAGAAAATGAACCTCCAAATCTCTAATATTATCAACAGTAACTATTATTGGTATTTGAAGATTACTGGAATCTTATATTACTTGACAACCAAACGTGGTAATCAAGTAATATAAGATAACATAATTCCAGTAATCTCACGTTATCCCTAACCAAACGCTACCTTAGGGTTTATAAACGGATTATTTTGATTCAGTTGCATAAATAAAAGTTGCATAAATATAAAGGAGCTTTTAATAATAATATTAATACAAAATCAGCTATGGTTGGATAAATTAATATAAAAATAAAATAAATATTTTCTCAAAACATTTGGCGCTCTCAAAATCTAAAATTTATTGTCCTGCCTAATTAGAAGACAAGATCTACACTGCATCAACTTGTCAAAAGGCACCGGAGCGGAAGGAAAAGCACCTCAGCCTTCGCTTCTCTCCTCTTCCCTCCTGTTTGAGAAATTTACGAACAAAGAAGACGTAGAGCTTTTTTTAGTATTCAATTTGGTGGGTTCTTGATTTTATATATTTATCACTTCCTCATGGAGATAGGTAAGTAAAATTTAATTTCAATTCTGTTTCTGGATAACATTTGCTTCTACTTTACTGTTCGGGACTGATGGTGATTAGGTATTTACATTCTCAACCAATATCTCTGAACCTATAGATGTTAAATATTCTCTGCAGACGGAGCCAAAGTACAAGTTTCTCAAAGTTTAATTGATAAGATTTACAATGTGTTTTCTGACGGGATGCACTTTGCCGCTCCAGTATCATCCTTGAGGATGAGTGAAGTGGACTTGGTATGCTTATGCCTTTTGCTTATTTCGCTTTAAGATTTTATGCCATTTTAAGGTTTTCAAGTTTTGTTTCTTTAGGTACGAGGTGTTTTACAAATGTTTCAAGGCTTTTCCAGTTCCTTGTTCTATTGGGACCAAAGTGGACAGAAGTTTCGTGCCAAAACTGGGATCTATGTCACTCACCTTTCCCTTAAGAGTTTATATGTCCTTCTCAATCAATTCACTTATGGAGCAACATGTTTAAAACTGGTGGAAATTGCGGTCGGTAGGGTGGAGACCTTTACGAGAGTAACTTCCCCTACTTTGAGGGCATTTTCATGCTCCGTTTCTGAATGGCTCAAGGTATGTAGTTCTGAATATTAATTTGTTGGATGAAATTTCTCTGTTTTCTTCATGTAAACACTCAATTGATTTTTCTTTGGCGTAGAGATTGAGGAATATTGCTTTGAAGGAAGAAATGAAAGTATGTGAGCCAAATGTTGGAATTTCGACAACCCTACTGGGATTAGCAAATTCCTTGTCAAGGTTGGTGTATAATAGCTTTAAAAGCTTTANTTTTATTTTTTGATAAATGAATAAGTCTAATTTTTCTTATATTACAATTTTATTGTATTAAAATTGAATTAATATTTGAAATGTTAACAAAAAAAAAGATTGAATTGAATTGAATTATTGATATTTGAAAAGTTAACTAAAAACAATTATATTTATAATTATTTATTTGAAAAGTTAAATTAAAAAAAAAAAAAAAAATAAGAAAATTGGGCTAACCCGACTCGGACCGCGCCTAACCTGGCGAGTTAGGGTTGGCGGGCCGGGCTGGGCCAGCCATTTTCTCCAAAATGGCGGGCCTAACCCGGCTTGCCTTTGTTGGCGGGCGGGTTAGGCCCGGCCCGCCAACCTTCGTAACCCTCCGCGGGCCGGGCCGGGCGGGTTACTTTTCCACCTTTAAAGAGAAGCAAACAGTCAAAAAGAAATAGTTTAGGTAGTTTCAACCTAATCACATAAAGGTGCCTACCAAAACGTTGACCTCTTGTTCTACTCTCTAAGATTACAATATGAGTAAACGACATATTCCCACCCAAGGTTTGACGAAATCCTAAGTTAGTACCATTGGTTCTATTTATTCTAGATTCACACCCTGAAAGTAACAGTGTTATGAATTTTTAGGGTTTAGAGGGTGCAATTACCATAATGCCCTTAACCCTAAATTAATAAATTATGTTTTCACCCCTAAATTAGTAGAATTACAAAACTTACCATTTTATTTTCAAATTATATCAAAAACACCCTCGTCGGAAACAGCTCGATCTGGGTTGTTTCCGACAACGTCGAACCCCCTGGTCACCTCCATCACTTTCCCCATAGTCCTTCGTCTAAAACCCCTCTGGTTCCCAACTCATTTGCCCCTCCAATCGCCGGATTCTAGTCGATTCTGACGGTGAAAATCCAATTGGACACCACCAATGCAACCACCGTCTCCAAATCAATGAAACCCCTATGTCCCCAGCAACCATTTCATCGTCATTCGCCGACCAAGAATTCGTGTTCATCGGCCATTTTTCATTGTCGTGGCTAGCGATCGGTGAGTGATGAGGGGTTGTGAATGGTATGGTTTTGTAGAGGGGAGGATGGGGGTTCAAATGGTGGTGACAAAGGTGATTTTGGGTGGAAGAATCGCCAGAAAAGAGCGAAAAACGTCGGGAACGACGACTGCTAATGTGCGCAGGAGGACTGTTAGATGCGGTGGTCTGCTAACGTGCACCACCCATGTAAAATGACCAATTTACCCCTTTACCGTTACATCAAACGTTTTTTCATCATTTTTAAGGGTGGGAATCTGGAATAAATAGAACCAATGGTACTAACTTGGGATTTCGTCAAACCTTGGGTGGGAATATGTCGTTTACTCATTACAATATTTCCACTGTCCACATCTATCTTTCTTTTACGTTTAAATCCCTGTAGTTTCAAAATTTATCATAATTTATATCAAAGCTTTTTTAATTACTTAGAAACTTCTCTCAAGTCTTAATTGCTCCTTTAAAGACTATTTAGAAATATTTTCGGGTGCGTTTGGTTTATTATTTCATACCCTATTCCCAAAATAACTGTTTGTTTAATTATTTAGGAAATACTATTATATTTTTTTAATTACTTTTAGACCCCTTAAATTTATTAATTTCATTAAACACCTCTAGAAAAAAGTTTAAAAATTAACAAAAACACCCACACCTACCCATAGTTGCCAGATTCCGGCAACCACCATCGGTGGTAGCTGGAATCTGTCACAACGACCTACAAATGGTCAGAATTGGCCGATAATTCGCCGGTCTGGCCTTTTCTGGCCAGATCCAAAGGATATAGCTGTCGTTGACCAATAACGACGGCCATATCTTTGGCCATCGCTCACGGCCAAATCTGGCCTTTTCCAGCCATTGACGACCAGATCTGGCCGGAAAAGGCCAGATCGACTGATTTGCGTTGTAACGCTAGATTCCGACCAGATTCTGGCCGCTGTGGATGGGTGGGGTGTTTTTTTCATTTTATAAAATTTTTATATATTGGGGTGTTTAGTTAAATTAGCAAACCTAGGAGTTTTTTTTTTTTTTTTATTAATTTTTAAATTTTACCTCATAATAATCACCCTATTCAACTATCCAATATTATTTTTAAAATCCTATCCAAAATAACAAACCAAACAAACCTTTCGATATAAGAGACTGTTAATTTAATTTTGAAATCACATGTAGAAAAAATAATTTAAAAATATAGACAACTTCATCGATTTATAGTATGCCAAAAACCATTTTCAAAATGTTAAAATTCATTAAAAACTACCCTAATTGTTTATGTTATTTTAAATATTTTCTTAAAACTGCAAAAAAAAAAAAAAAAAAAAAAAAAAAAAAAAAAAAAAAAAAAGGGAACGTTGGCACTAACCTTCCTTTCAACAAGAGCTGATAATTTTTTTCTCCTTTGAAGTTTGAAATAATTCCAATAATTCCCTTTAAGGTTTTTTTAAGCACATTTTAAAATGCCAAAATGACTTAAATAACCCTAATACATGTTGAGAGTTTCTAAATTAGTATTTGTTTAACTACTATTGGATGACTTAATGGTAAAAGAGCAAAGAAGAATCTAAGTTTACATGGTCTCTCATGTTTGATTCTGTTTGAGTCTCGAATTTGAGTCCTCGCTGCTACTAATAAGGGTGATCATTTGAGCTTTTACTCGACATGAAGTTTTAGGGTCTCGGAGAATTAGTTGAGGTACATGCAAACTAGCCCGAGCACCCCTAGTCATAAAAAAAATAATAATAAAAAGATATTTGGATAGTTTATAAAGTCCTCCGAGTTCGATATGCAAAAAAAAAAAAATATTTTTACCTTTAGACCAATGTTTTAAAATCCAACCTGTGGTGAAACCCAGCAAAGTGGTCGGGTCCCGAGTTGAACGGTTTAACCGGTTTGGCTGGCGGGTCAAACTGGTGTCTAAAAGTTTGAAATCTAACGAAAATATCCCTAAAAATTATTGTAAGTTCCTATAGGTTTGAAATCTTGCAAAAACACCTCAAACACCACCGTTGGTGTCGCCAAGTAAGGCCTACTTTCGGCAACAACAACACTCTCCTTCACCACGAAAACACTCCCCCTAGCCTCCTGACCAAAACTCATCTCACCCTTTCCTCGTTAGCCGCCCCAATCACCGGCGATAACGGGCTTTTTTCGACGACATTGTTTTTCGATTTTCGGTCGATTCACTTACCGAAAATTGACGCCATTACCACCATTGCACTCATCGGCAATTTCTTTTTAAAAGCCTTAACATTCTAACCTTCAATTGTTCACGGATTAATGTCCTAATTTCTAGGGTTTTCAATGAATATGAAAACTTGTAATTCGAATCGATGAAGGCTCTAGATCCCGGTTGAAAGGTTGGGCTAGGTTTTAAAACACTACTTTAGACAATAAAAGGACGATTTTGTGTATTTATAAAAATTTAGAGTATTCTTTGTGGTTACTTTAAATATTAGAGAGGAAATACAATTACTCTTAAAACGAAGTTGCAATGTCTGATAAGGACGATAAGGTCGTCCGTCTATGTTCCCACTCCCAATAAGGAATAAAATAAAATTGCAGACGTTGATACTCTTATAGTATTATTAAAGTATAAATTAATTGAAGTATACAGTAATGAGTAAACGATCTTTTTCCCTCCCAAGGTTTCTCTTAATGACACTTTCCCACCTAAAATGTTTCTAAATACCACTTTTTTATTAAAAGTTTAAAGTTCCCACTCCCAATAAGAAATAAAATAAAATTGCAGACGTTGATACTTATTAAAGTATAAATTAGATTAGAGTATATAGTAATGAGTAGATGATCTTTTTCCCACCCAAGGTTTGCCTTAATGACACTTTCTCATCTAAAAAGTTTCAAAATACCACTTACTCACCTAAAGTTTATATTCTGACCAATCACCAGCCGATTTTGGCATCTTTGTAACCCTACGCTACCACCATTATCTTCTCCGATCATCACTCACCAAAACCCCTTAAATTTTGCTCCCGTCAACCCCACCAATCATTGGGAATGAGTGATTTGTGTAACATGCAACTACCCTTTTGAAATCAAATTTTGACCAATCCCAATCCCAATTGCCAAAATCCAACTTGTCACCACCAAAGACTCATGATATCCCCTCTTCAAAAGCCCCAATAGGTTGAACCAAGTTTTCTCTCCGTTGGCCGCCGAATCGAAAAGTATATTCTGGATAGTAAACAAAATATAACTTTGGGTGGGAAAGTGATATTTTTAAACATTTCGGGTGGCCAATAATTAATTCAAACCTTGGGTTGGGAAAAAGTCTTTTACTCTTTAGTAATACTAGTGTTTTTGTTTTGATCTAGCATAAAGCCAAATTCACGCTCTTTCCACTTTCTACTTCTTATCATCATCAAAATTTAACAAACAAAACAGATTCTACTCCCAAAAACACCAACGCCCAACGCCCAACAACTAAGATTTCTATTCTGACCCATTTGATGTTTTAATCCACTCGATTCATCCAAAAATTCAAAAATCACATTCATAACCCCCGCAAAGAAATGGTGATTCGAAAACCCACTTGGAATCTGTGTCTTTTTGGGTTTCTATTTCTGTGCATAAGTTATGCGCCCAATTCAATGGCCCGGTTCGTGGTGGAGAAGAACAGCTTGATGGTCACATCGCCGGAGAAGATTAAAGGGTCGCATGACAGTGCGATTGGGAATTTCGGGATTCCACAATATGGGGGAAGCATGGCTGGGACTGTGGTGTATCCCAAGGAGAACCAGAAGGGTTGTAAAGGGTTTGATCAGTTCAGGATTAAGTTTGAATCCAAGCCTGGTGCTTTGCCCAATTTTGTTTTGGTCGATCGTGGAGGTATCTTGGCTTTTCAGATTTTTTTTTTTGGTTGATTTGATGATTTGTTTATGTGCCCTTTTGATTATTTAAATTAAATTTGTTGGTTTGTTTTTTGGTTGATTTATGAGGTAAAGTTTTAATACTGTGGTTTTTGTTATTATTTTGATTATTTTAAGCTTGTTTTAGTCATTTGGGAGGTAGTCTTTTGAAGTAAATTTGGTTTAATCTGGTTGCTTTGCTGAGATTT